TTTCTTGCAAAAAAAAAGACTGATAAATAAAAATGAATACAAACAAAGGGGAAAAAAGCAGCAAACTGAATGCCGAGCCGATCTTTGAGGTTACTCTGGATTACTACGAACCGGTAGTGTACACAGCACGTTGCAAAGTATCACAGCTAAGCCTTTAAACCCATTTTTTAATCTCCTGACTTCTTTTTTTTGGCTTTCTTGTTTGTTGCGTGCGAGATATCGACCGGAAATTGTCAACATTTGCCAAAGCATTTTGTAGTTTGGAATTTGAATTTTTTTTGCCATGAAACAGGAAATTGGGACGCAAATTTTTTTTCCACTCGTTTGAATAAAGCCTCTTTGATAACGCAAAAATGTCTAAAAACATTGATATTACTGGTGTCATTTTAAACCCAGACTCGAGATGGAAATTCGGATATTTCGGGTCAAAGCTCACAAACACACTTTTGAATGATGCAGGCTCAATGAGCCGAAATGGATGTGGTTAGTGGCACAAAGTTCGTCCAGTCACGAGTTCATATTTTCGTTCAATTTACTCAATGCATAACAAGTGCGCAACATTCGCATTGAATATTATTTAAAATGTACTGAATACACATCTCGTGTACGAAATGTACGTGAGACTCAATGATATTGTAATCGACGAATTTTTTTCGGCCCACGCGATATGGATTGTTCTGAAAATGGATTAGAAGCATTTTATCTGAAACACATCTTATGCAGAGAAAGTATTTGAAAATTATGCATGAATATAAATATAAATTCGTTTTGTGTACGTGCTCGCAAATGTTTGTTCATTGGGCAAAAAACCGAAATTATTTTCTACCATTCAATTGAAATATGTAACAAGTGATTGTCTGTGTTCCGGCTGTAAATATTCTATTCCATCACATCTGATGAGCCAGGAAAAAAAATTATTCAACACGAAACGCCTGCAAAAAATGGTTGTGATGAACAGCATTTTTCATATTGTGCACACTGCACAGCAACAACTAGCAATATAAATTGGTTTGACGTGACATCATTTAACACTTGCAACACTTTTTTAGCACTACATGAAATGTAGAGCTACTAATCTGCGTTTTTTTTTCTAATACTTTTTCGAGCCATGAACAGAATTAGAGTGGTTTTCAATTTTATGCTCATATTTTGTATTCAATTCAAACTAGTGGCAGTAACGACAAACAAGTGCATAGTATCTCGAAACGCTAATCAAATTTTTATTATCAAATGTTGTTTAAAATTTACATTACTTTTTCCTTCTTTTGTATAGTATTCTCCGAGTCTTGAGCATAATGAAAGTTAATTTAGATTCTATGGTCATATTATTTATTTAATTTAAAACAGTGGTAGTATCTTTCAAAAAAGAAATCAAACCAAGATCTTGCAATTCATTTTTGAGATAACTGAGAAAATCTTTTTTCTGTATCAACTTTGTTGCAAATATATATCCTTCGTATTATGTTTTTAATCCATAATATTATTAAAAGGGACGCCTTTTAATGATATATTACTGCAAAATTACTTAGATGAAATACATTTCATGTAGTGCGCAAAAAAAATAGTTTGTTGTGAAGCAACAAAGTAGAATAAATAACTGAAATCTCAAGAACGCAGAGCGGAGCGAAGCGAAGCTCTGCGGTCTTGTTTTCCCTTCCATGCCATTTTTTTCGCTCGCTATCTCAACTATCTCATTTTCGTTGCATTTATATTGCCGCAATGAGCGACAAATAATAAGTGTGATAGCGTGATAAAGCATTTTCGTTCGTTGTTATTGTTATTATTATCGCGTGTACGTGCGCTTGACCTTAGACCCTCTTAGAACATTGAACATCATTCGCAACGACCAACCGATCAAGCATTCACAACAAGACAGTGCAGACCACACAATTCTTCCGCTTTTCTCTCCTTATCTCAACTGAATAATATATTTAGAAATTTTTGATCTCCAACTGGTACGTTATTTACTCATGGCAAATTGATTGAAATTTGAAATCGAGTAAAACATAAAGCATCGAAGTTGAATGGGCTAACTTTGGGCTTTGAGCGGTAATGATAGGAATACAAAGGCATTTTTTTTATAAGTATCGATAGGCGCAGTGTCTTAATCATTTAAAGCATTTCATCACACTGATTTGTAATGGACTACCGCGTTCTCATGAGCATTGGTATCAAGAAGTGCAATGTCTATTAAACATAAAAGCAATCCCCTAATGTTGACGCAAACGGCGAACATAAAAATATTATTAGGTGATATTAAATAGCTTTTCGGTTTTGGGAATGCACGACGACGTGAAATGAATGCGATTTAGACTCTCGCACCCACTGAGAAACCGAGACGAGAGAAATGGATAAAATGGCACGCGCTGTAAGGCATGTACTTCATGAAAAATCATCAAGCGTATATTTCGAGTAAATATCCGTCAATTTATGATCAATAATACCTATAATCGAATGGGAACAAGAAGCAAACCGACCACAATACACAAGCGAAAAGGCGATACCATTGCCGAATGGGAGAAACAAGACGAAGACGAAGACGAAAAAGAACCGTAAAGAGATAGAGGGAAATTTCCGTATTTTGTTTTACTGATCTATCAACTCAATGTAAAGAGCTGAATGATGAATTAAAACGCATATTGGGGCGGTTCACATCTTTTTTATATGATTGAGAACTCATTCACTTGCTCTGTCTCTCTCTCACTTCTCTCTCTCTCGCTCACCCACACCCTTGTCTTTCTTTTGGCCTTTTGCTGTGGCAAGCGTCTTTGGCTGATTCGCCAGTGGTATTGCGTTGATACGGAGGCAGTGACTGCTGACTCAAGTGCGTGTTATCTACTATGTTTTTATTCTCTGATGTATGGGTTGTTATTCTTTTTCTCACGCATTTTCTTAATTTACCGCTTTTTACGACCCCGGCTCATATATGTATAACCAAAGGTCTAAGTGAAAATACACATTCAGAGTGCGAAATAACTTCGTTTGTATAAGTATGTGTTGGTTGGTGAGTTTACTTTGGCCCAAATGATCACTTGAGGACACAATTTATGCGTGCTGATGATATCTATTCATTGAATATTCGAAATATCGACATCGAGACAAAATGAGAAAGAGGCCGATGTGCAAAAGCCTGATTCCAGTGAAAAACCGATGAGTAATGCAAATCGAAAACTGTTCTTGCCAAAATGTTAACCGAAAATCGATGACATTCCGAGAGTTACTCCAGTGGAAAGATTCATGGGAATTAAATGGCATGGCTTGGGAATGCCAAGAAGAAGAAAAAGAAGAAGAAGAACAACAAAAAATAACGCATTCGAACAAATGACAAAGTGATAGAGGAGGCAACTTTATTCCATTCATCGTGTGCCGCACCATTAATCATTACAGTTTTCGTTGACCACACAATTATCAGGAATAATTATATCGGCTGTAAAAACTGTGCCAAACAATAAATACGCGGCTGTGATTTATAACAAACAAGGCAAAACACAGCCTGAATGATTCATCAGCCCGTTGAACTAAATCTCTATCGTTCTCTCTCTCTCTCTCATTCCGATCCAAATGAATATATGGATCGAAGAAATGGTGTCAATGTATTTCTAATGCGTATTATTTTGCTTGTAATTTGGCTTGCGGTATGTAATTATTTTCACTGATATTATTGACGCTTCAATACGGTTGACGTCAATCACACTGAATCATAATTCGGCTTGTTTTTACGAGTTGTTTGTTTGAAAAGTGCGTGCATTGATTGCGGTCAAATATTTAAATCATAATTGTAACGACTTTTAAAGAGCCGGATACATATATTCCGGAGCTAAAAAACCGTACGATTTATTGATTTATTCAGCGAAAATTGAATAAAACATCTCTTTCGTCCTGTTTATGCTAATATATATATCTATGGGTGAGATTGAGAGTGGAGTATGTTTTTTCTTCGGTTTATATTTTTGAAAAGGCGAGTATGTTTTCTGATGATTCTGTTTGCGTTAAAGTAGAGTATGTTGTAGTACTGTCTAGCCTCCGCGGTCTTCACGGTTTTCGCGCAACTGATAAAAGATAACAACATGGTGTCTTCGGCAAAGTTGTAGTACTCAAGGTCTTCTATAACTAAGCTGAAGACAGTTATCTCTTATCTCTTATCAGTTGCAAGTCGACAGAAACTTGCTCTTATCTTTCGTAACAAAGTCAATGAAACATACACTACTCTTAATCTCACCCATATATATATATATATATATATCGAAAATTCGCCCAAGAGCCAAACCAATTTGAATTGATCTTATTGGTGTTGAATGTGCGCATACAACTATTTTCTCATTTAAAATTAACATGTCTAAACTTTTGATTATTTATCGACATGTGCTTCGTTCGTTTTCCTTTTTCAATATTTTTTTCTCGCTTCGCTATGGTAGATGTGTAATGCTTCGCTCTGTGATGATCATCCGAAATGCATGTAACGAGAATCGCACAAATCACCGTATCACATCACAGCACGCACTGAAAAATTAAGTGACTAACGAACTATCGTTGAAAATTAAATGAAACCGCGAAAATCAATGTTTACACATTACACGACCGATTAACATGTTTGCCTAATTGAATAAAGTAAACACACGCACACATCGTGGCATTTTGATTTGACTATATTTTCATACACTATACTATCGCTTTATAAACAACACAGAATCGTTCTCAGTGTTTTATTCATCAGTGAGAAAACATATGGGAAAATTAAAAGCGAATCTTTTCTTCTTAAATGTAGATTTTAAAGCAGCCAAACACTTAAATGTATACCACAGCGCGTACACATACACACAGCCACTGATTGATTCCCGTCGATTTATTCCATTTATTGTGTTTGTCTGTTGCAATGAACACATTGTGCTTAAAATCTCAATTAATTAATTGTGTGTGCATTGTGCGAGTCGTCGTGTGTCGCTGTAACATTCTGCAACTGGGTATAACAAAATGAGTAAAAATGCAATTAATTTACTTACACATTCCATGGCCCAAGATCCAGGTATCCGGTTTGGTATTTACTTCGACTAAAACAGTCGGTGTGCATACAACCAGCACGAACAAATCAGCTATGCTTAAATTTATTAGGAAAATGTTTGTGGAATTTCGCATGTCTTTTGTTTTCATTATTACGATTGGCACCTACAATGGAATGAAAGCGAAAACGAAACACCGAAATTGTATTAGAATGAATTAAAAGGCTTCTCTCTTGTTTATCTTCGGGTGTTTGGTAAATAGACGGAGGTTTTTCACATTACATTTCGCTAAGCGAGAGCGTGAACGTGGCATTTTGCGTCAGCTCAATGGAAGATTTACCAATTTATCAACAGCTTGAAGATTTTTTGATGAGCTAAAGCAGAGATAGAGGGATAGAGCAGAAGCTAAGCTGCCGCGTACACACATTCGTCCACCGTCTATGTTACCAAAAAACAAACACCCTTGACAAAAGTTTCATTAAAATTGTTATTGTTCAAACCATTAGATTTCCAATCACACCCAGCAACATGATTGTGATGCAAAAAACCATAGATGTAGTCCGAATGTATGCTGGGATTTGCGGTACATCACGTTCATCAGTAGCATTTTCGGTGGTGGTGGCCGCTGTCGTTGATAATGAACTCAGCGCCTGATTAATAATTGATGCTAAAGAGACATTATCGATAGACACCCCCAAATCGTCAGTGTGGGGGTGCTGAATTACATCGGACACATTTTCATTTAATTGAGTTATGATGATGACGGCAACTATAACGATTCGATAATAATAACGTGCGGATGTTCGCTTCAACACCTCAATAATTGTTCGGTTGTTCGTTGTTTTTGTCGTTTTTGTCTTAGCTGCTGCTACTGATGCTGCTGCTGTTGCTGTTGCTGTTGCTGTTGCTGTTGTCGTCGTCTCTCTTTTTTCCTCTTTCGCATTCGTTTCAATTGTGTATGGTCCATACATACGCGCGTTTCAAGCCGAACTCATCCCTTTTTTATGCAAACAAATGCGATGCGCTTTTGTGTCAAGTTTCAACACTGATTTCGGTCGACATAAACAAACAATTTTTTTTTTCGACAGCGCACTCGTTTCGCTTGGTTTAATTCTCCTTCTTTGTTTCTCTCTCTCGTTTACTCTCACTGTTCACGAGCTGCCGTTGTGATTACGTGTTCCACACTTAGTGGTTATGATAAATAATTTTTTATGTAATTATTTCTCGGGCTCTCTCTCTCTCTCTCTCTCTCTATCTCTTCCCCTCTCTGTCTTTCTGTGTGTTCGAGTGTTCGTTGTTCTTTTTTCGTTCTTTATTTGGGCCGTATCTTACGCGAGATCGCTTGTCGTTGCTGCTTTTGCGTCGCACTACGAAAAACTACACCACGAACGGAAAACTAATCCGAAAATCTTTTTAGATAAGCTAATGAAATAAAATAATTGTGGCAACGACTTTTGTGCATGGAAACAATACCGACCGGTCGCTGTGTCGCATTCACACAAAATTACAACACACGCCGAATGGGAAGCATTGACATTGGTATTAGAGAGAATGGTCGAACACTAAAATAATGTGTAAATAGACACATCATCAACAGCCCCGCATACCATTACACACTTGTTCTTGCATACGGTCCAAAGTCACTTGGTCGTTGATAGCACTACAGCATTTCTTCGTCGTTCAGCTGTTCGCATTTGAGTTGTTCAATACTGGTGAAAAGGAACAAAAGTCACTGTATCGAACCAGCTGGACGTATATGTATGCTTGATTCTGAATGTTCTGAGTGCTTTGTATGTCTCGCACTCTCTTTCTTGGTTGCAGTTTATCTTGTTAATGTGTTTTATATATTCGCACAATTTGATGATTTTTCATATCATTTCACTAGCGTTCGTTCGTTCTGTTTGCCACTTTGCTACGTACACACAACCACAGACACCAATCTACACAGTTACTGTTAAAATTTGCAGCTTGTGCTTTTTTCGCTGTTATTAATTTTCATATTCACATTGTCCACAAAACTATTATTGGTTGACGTCATTCTCAACGTTTGCTAGGTAAGAGGATGGCACATTGTTTGGTGCTTGCATTCATGCAACTCCGTTGAAATTCGCATAAATTGTCCAAAGCAACGGAATGAATTTATGTCGAAAGAGAGCGAAATAAAGATGGTGAGAAGCAAAAAAGCAGAGCGCTTTTACCCGCTTTCCGGGAAACTGGCACTGGATGTTGTTGCTGTTGTCCTTACTGCACCTGTTTGGCCAAAGAAAGCACAAGAAGAAGAGAAACAAAAAAGCACAGAATGAAAATGAAACAAAAATCAGATTAAGGAATAAATAAAATTTTGTAACAACATTTTACGAGTGAAATTAACTTGGGCGAAGACATAGATTCAGTGTAGATTCGAGTGCATGCTTGAATACAATCGCATTAAATGTCCACATGAAATTAATTTATTGTTGAAACTTTGGCACGGTGTGTCCGTACCCGCTGGTCTTTCGTTCTCATTTTTTTTTCTTCAACATAACAATAATTGGTTGGCGGGGGTTTTTAATCCTTTAATGAGGCCATTTGAAATTCATTAAACTGTCCAATAAAACATAAATCACTTTCATACGGCGTTTTACAACAAACTAAAAGCAAGTCGCTTCTTTTCTTTTTTTTTTTGATTTTGTTCTGTTGTTCTTTTTCTCTCTTTCTAACTCACCTCTAGCGTTCGCTGAACGCTACGAAAATTATGTTGCGATGAAAAAGGTCAGTCTGCTCCTGGTGAATTTCCATATAGAAAAAGTCAGCCACAAAAAGCTTTAAAACAAATTACTTAATAATTTATTTTAATGCCATACTTTGTGCTGCAGAAGCTCAGCGCGTTTGGAACTTTCATTGTTCATTTCTTTTTCTTTGTTGTCGTCGTCATAATTGTCGTTGTCGCACTTCTTTATGTGAGCTGGACAAGCGACAAACATGAAAAAGACCGGGCGAAAAACGAAAACAATTCCCACGGTGACGAAATATTATGGAGTCAAACGGAATAAATATTATTTACGGTAGTTTAGAAATGTGATTGGCCCATTTTTCCGCATGGTCAATATAGCCAACGGCAAAATTGATGAGATCTGCATACACGCCGTATATTTTATACATACACATCCACATACACTTGCTCTCCATTCATACAAAATGCTCTAACCATTGGCAAAATGGTAACAACGATACGACGTTGTAAGATTCAGTCAATGATGCCATCAAATGACAAATTACAACATATTATCACATAATATGGTATATTGCAATAGAAATAGATAGCATCTAACGGCGGCGATGACGACGAACGAAGCAAGCAAGCACAAAGAAACCCCGATTCCGGATTCAATGGCTCCAAAAGTTTTAACGGTACTTGTGCGATGGGCCAATAGGCGTAGGAAAATCGGAGACAGTCGACCGATTCCAAATAGCACACAAACCAGACAATAAATATACGCACATAAAACCATTTACTTAGCACCACTATGCGACGAATGACGACCGCATTCACTACGATTGTTCTCGCTTACGCATCATCCTCAATCGTTTATGACAAACAATTCAATGTGTGGCACATACGCACATCATAATCTAACATTGGCCAGATAATCGAATGATAACTTTTCCACAGCCAAAAATGTATAATTTTGTAGTTTTCGACCGATTTAAATAAAGCCATATTCAATTATTTGGCGCATGATTATGTGTTTGGATTTTTTTCCCCTGCGGCAATTCTAAGATTATTATCCAACGTGAGTATGATAGAACGTGAATTTTTCATCCATTATGTCACCAGTTCTGACTCGGTATAAGACGGAATTTCAAGTGAGGGACTTTCAGTTGAAATGAAAAATGCAGCCATTAGTAACAAAAACATACAATTGGGTTAGATTGATTTTTTATTTCAACTTACAAATTGTACCACATTCATCTTAACACATTTCATCCATTCATGTCATTTTGATGGAGACCATATCAGCACACGTTCTAAATATACCATTTTCGAAAGCACGATAATTATTTTTCGTCATCTTCTTTGGCCTCCTACACACATTTCTAAAGCTAAAAATAATTAAAGTCTTTTCCGAACATTTATTTACACTTTGCAGCTCAAGTGCATCCATGCGGAGGATTACTTAGCTTGAATGATAGATAACAAATCAGTGTTGCCAACTAAACACGAGCGTCGTTTTATTTGTCGTCGTTGCGTTGAGCTGACAAAGTGAAATCAGCTAGCTCAGGTTTGTTTCAACATTTAAAATGGTGTTTAATCTGTGTGCTGTCGGGTTGCATTGATCGAATCACATCATGTTTGGTTGAAACGATTCCAGTGTAAATAAATTCGTTGACGAATCGTTGTTAGAAAGTCATCGAACTTAGCCACTGTTTGGAAATGACTTTTGTGTAAACCAGTCGATTTGTATGAATGCGGTAGCAAACATGGTTCCTTGGTTATGCACAATAAAGTCATGAGCGGCAGGCTAGAGAAAATATAAAACGAGGGAAAAATGGGCATATTTTGTTCGAATGTGCATGGGGCTGTTGAGAGACGACCAAAACTCTTTCGTATGAGAATTTCAATTCCAATTCCATTTGTAAGTGTGGCACATCGTTGAATAATGCTGTACGTATCCACTTTGAATTGATGCGATCTAATCTCCGAATGTTGTGTGGCCCAAATGGTAACACCATACCTAAACTAACTACAGAGAAACAAAACTTCTGCCACTTTACTGTTTATGTATATTTTATTTGATAGACCGTATGGAGCAAAGAAGAAGAAGAAGAAGAAAGGGAAAAGCCCTACCTTCTTCATAAGATATGAACAACGTTGATACATGCATGTGTGTGTGTGTGTGTGTGTGTGTGTGCTGTTGGTGTGTGTCATTTTAATAATTATGGAAATAAAAATTCATGCATAATGCTCTTTTTTCTTTCACTTTTGCCTCAGCAACACATCCCAAGCGTTGTCCTTCATTGATGCCATCGACAATGGCATTCTCGCTTGGCTTATATCAGTAGAATAGTTTAATTTCTTGTTTATTTGTGTCAGCTGCTGCGCTCGCACATTCCATTCGAGACAGCAAACGCACGAACGATTCAAAGAGTCACACCACACATGTTCGGCGAACAAGCATATCACAACACCGAAAAAGTTAAATACTTGTATTTTAGATGAACGCATTTCATTGGAATTGAAATTAAGCAATGCTACGCAACATGCACTTTCATAAAGATGCTTGAGCGTTTCGATCATTTTGGACACGATTTCGAGCGAATAAATGCAAACGTAAGGGAGCAAAGCCAACAACGGAAAAAAAAATGGATGAAATCAACGCAACAATCATATATGCCAATCATGCCACTTGGAAGCATCGCACTATGGAGCACTAACAAACGAAACAGCATTCAGTCAACGAACTTCGTCGAGTTGAAAAAAGATTAGAAGCATCCTACGAACACGGTATTTATTTTCCGTTGTTTTTTTTTTGTTTTTTTCTTTTTCGTTTTGTTTGTGTTTGCATCTTTTCACACATTGAATGGATGAATACACACAACAGCACATGTTGCTGTTGCTATTGCTGCTGTCAAACAAAAGCAACAAAGGGATTTTTCTTACACATCTTTAATGCATCTGATCTACATAGAATGATAAGCGATTTGGAAATCGCATCGAAAAACGGAAAACATCAGCAAAACGAGAAACGCTTTCAAATCTTGACATAATTAAAGTAAATAAATGTGAACATGCATAATCGGACACTTCGACCGATTGATTTGCTTGGGAAAGAGAAAGCGGAACATGCTTCGCCGAGTGCAAACAATCAAACCAAGAAAATGGTAATGAGTTTTCTGTTCTCAGTCGGTCAATGAGAAGCGAAAAAGAGAGTTCGGCCAATGAAGCCGGTTGTGTCGGATCGGTTTGAACTAGTCTGAATAAATCAGATAACAAAAGGAAAAAGCACACAGAGGAGAGAAAAAAAGACCACACATGCGAATGCGTTAAATGTGCGCTGTTTGCATTTCCAACGAAGCAGATGCGGTCGGTATTCGTACGGTTCAATGTGAAAAGCTTTCAAAGTGATTTTGATGCAAATTCCCCCGGTTTCATTCAAATATTCTATTTCGTTCAGTCAGTCAGTCAGTCAGTCAGTCATACACACATATATCCAACATACATGCACAAGTTAAGTCGTTGAAATTCCTCCTTTAATTCGTGCGGGCAGTTAAGATAAGCAAACACACATCGAAAACAAATGCTCTAAATCCGTTTGCAATGTTGAAGAGTCATGACTGTTTTTCGGGTATTTTGTTCGATAACATTTCGTTTATTATACCGATAACATATATGTGATAAAATATTTTACGTGCATACTGCTGCTGCCGGCGCCGTCATCAATGCTGCCACTACTGTGGTGGCTATAGCTATTGGACTTTGGGAGCACCGCTCCAACACACCATTGCAGCAAAATGCCACACTTTTGCTCGATGCAAACATTTCGAATTATAACATCAAATTTGTAATATGAAACGAAATCAAAATATTTCTTTCTCTATCTATCGTTCGCTCGGCCCCTCTCAATTCTCTACATTTTGATGCGATATGATGTGGATTTTATGGAGTTCAATATTTTCTTGTCTGACACACATTTTATCTCGTGTGGATTAATTAAACTGCCACAAAGACCGCAAGTAATTTCATATTACAGTTGATTCGGGTGCGTTTGTGCATGCATATGGATGTACACTTGTACACACACTCACAACTACATTGTGCAAATGAGCATTTGGTTTTAGCGTATATATTGACAATTTGTGGCTTGGCTAATATGCTGCACTCAGCGTTTGTGCTGTTCGGTGAAGTGAAGTGAATCCAAAAATACAGTAGCTTAAAATGCATTTGATTCGATATATGTTTTTTTTTGCTCTTCTGCTTCTCCTTCAGTATCATCTTTTCTCGTTCACTCACTTGAGATATCGCTCGCGCTCTCACTCACTCGCTCACTCAACGCAATTTTAATTTGGGTGAACGTTTTTATTTGGTGGTTTTTCATATTTGCGAGCGCACACATCGCACATAATATGTTTGCAGCACGTGTACATTTGGCGTATTGATTGGTGGTGTTGATTGTGTGTGTGCAAACGATTTAAATGCACATTAGAAATCACATGGTGACAGTAGTAGCAATGCTGTCGCCGTTATTGTGCGCATTATTGTGGCCACACAC